TTACACTAAAAATGCATTGCTCTTGCCGTCTGTTGCACTAGCCGCTTCTTGATGCCGCTTGCCTCCTGCCTCCTGCCTCTTGTTGTTGCTGATGCTGATGCTAATGCTCTTTGCATACAGATACTGATGCTGATGCACATCATTTGCTTATTGAAGACATCCTGTGAGCGACATCCGTTCGTCTTGCACAAAAATGTAATCAAAATAAAGAAATTCAATTCCTTAGCGAAGAGAATAGAACCCAAAGTGATCGCTGAGCTAATCGATTTTGTCAGCACCTAAGGTACTCCCCAAACTGGAAACTTTGCTCTGGAATTGGTTTTACTGGCCGCTTGATCTTGTCTTTGATCTTTGATCCAACTTTAGAAAGTTTTACGAGCTTCTATTTTTTGGCAAATCACTCAAATGGCGCCACCCTGCTGTCTTGGTCATGGATCACAGCACCGACTGGGCTTCCAACAACAACAAAAAAGCAACACAAGACTGAAAACTGAAAACCGAAAAATAGGCGAAGAATTTAAATATGCTGTGGCCGTACAGTTGCCGCGGATAAGCCGAATCAGTCAGAGACTCAGTCAGTCAGTCAGTCAGTCAGTCGTCTGTCAGTCATTCAGCCAAGCGTAGGGCCGTGCCGTACCTTAGCCACGCACGGACCTGGTGTGGGTCTCCTCAGTGGCAGTCTCTGAGTTCAACTTGTCTTATCTCTGGGCTCTGCTCAAGTGGCTCTGCTCTGCTCTGCTCAAATTCCACCTGCTCCATGTAGCCCGTGCAGTTGCAACCCTCCCTCCCCCAACCCCAACCCCAACCCCAACCCCAACCCCATATCACATATCTCTCTGCGCCATTTTGGAATTTCGTTTTCTGGACGAATGCCTCTAATATGAGTTAACAGAAAAATAAAACGAAACAAAAAAAAAACACACACACAACAAGAACATAGAGACGAAAAATGGAAAGAAATGAAAATATGTTTTCTTTTTTGTATTCAACATTTTATGCTCATTGTTAGTTGTGTATTTTTTTATTTTTTGGGGTTTTTGTTTTTGGCTAATTAGCGTAGCCCCTGGGAAACACATGGGGAAATGTGCCGCACCCGCCCTCAGCCTGCACCCGCAGCTCATGAACTGAATTTCTCTTGAAGCGGCAGTGGCAGTGGCAGTGGCAGTGGCAGCATGTATAATGCCACATCCAGGTCGGCTATAGCCGCTTGATGTTGCTGCTGTTTTGCATAAATTAAATATTATTCGGTTTTGGGCATAGTGCCGCCATTTGCTGCTGGGCTGGGTGAGGTTGCCTTCTCTTGGCCCACTTGACTGGGCATCGGCAGGGACTGCCGGAGCGGAGCGTCAGCTTTTCGAGTCAGGGTCTTGAGTTAATCGTAGGGGAGTAAGCTGGCATCTTGCTTTAAAGATGGAAGAAAGTGCTGCCAGAAGACGTTGAAGATGTGCTTCGGAATCTTGCAAGAAATAGTTGCACCAGCTCGAAAAATAATTCCATCTGTAATTTCATCTGTCAGAGAATTCCGTTTACCGAGAAACCCTTTTGGTGTAAAAAGATACACCTAAAATCTAGAGCCAAGAATCGGCACAGATTCAGCGGAAATCAAAAGAATTTTGAATTCAAGAGCCCAAATGCCCCCATGGCTTTGGCTGTAGCGCATTTGGAAAAAGATTCCAAAGTTATTAAAGCGTAAACTCTTGACTCTCGGATGGAGTATATTGTTTTAAGCTTTGGCGCTAGATTCACACTATAAAAAAATTAGTTGTGCCCCTTCTTTTGTTGTTACGCTCGCATTTAGCTTATTATTTTTATGATTTTTGTTGTTTCATTGTTGCCTGGCCATTTGCCGGGTTCAATGACTAATTTATGAAAGTTGGCCTGACTTGACTCTTATGTATGTACCTGCGCCTGGTTTCCAGCGGGTTTTTGGCTAGCCCTCGCACCACCGGAAATCAAAGTGGTTCACTCTGTTGTTGGGCGGGGGTGGGGGCATAGAATCGCTGTTGGTTAACAGGCAAATAGCGGAATAGTTCCATTGAAATGCGTTCGGCTGATAGGCGGAAGATGCGGTCAGAACTTTCACCGACAAAGCAGCGCCGAAGGCTGGCGAAGGATGTGCTGATGTGCTCTTGTTTTTGTTCGTTTCTTTTCTTATTTGCCTGTGAAATTTAGCGTTCACTTGTTGCCAGCCGAGGGCAGGGGATTGATTACCTGTTGAGGTTAACCGACATGCCAAACAGGTACAGCTGCAGCCGCAGCCGTGTGCCGTGTGCCGTGTGCCGACAAAGGATATCCGGATGGATCCCTGCACCCACTCCATATTCCACTTCAATCCACAGGCACAGGGCATTCTGGTCAGCGATTTAACGCCTCTAATTGAGCCATAATGTCTTCGATATGGCCCAAATCATTTGGACTGCCAACATTGAAAGTAAATCAATTTTTATGTCGCACTTTGCAGTTAAACTGGGAATCATCTGGTGGCCCCCGGGAACAGTCACACAGACAGCACACAGCTACAACTGCAAAAGATACAAAGATACAAAGCTTTGCGAGCCTCTTGTTACATTAAATATGCATCAAAAAATTGATGATGATGCATTTTTAACGATTCGAGAAGATTTTTATGTCGCCAGGAATGCATTTGACAGAGCATCGACAGAGCTGATCCGCTGATGTATTGCCTGCCCCACCAGTACACATTCCACGCATCATTCCATCACATTCGACATCTCAGCAGCATTCGACTTCGTGACACCCACCTCCGTCTCCGTCTCCGTCTCCATTTTCAATCTCCAGCTCGTACTCCCTCATGTATGGACTTGTTTGTCGCTTGTCTGCGCCTCAATTTGATTTTAATGGCCTTTTGATCAATTCCGTCCTGCTTCTCTGCTACATATCCGTGTCACCTGAGAGAGTATCTTTAGTCTGATGTGTGTGTGTGTGTGTGTGTGTGCCCTTGCCCCCGGGTAGTACATGTCATCAGCACTGGGCGGCGCCACCAGCAACAGCTCTCACACGCTGCGCGTTAGCCTGGACAGTTTGTAATTATTTTTGTGGCCAAATTGAATTGAATTAAAGCGAAGAAGTGAAGTGCACACGGAGAGCAATGCCAGAAGCCATCAGAGAATGTTTCGCTGCAGAGCGGAAAGAAGCGACTCGTTGATACCCTAACAGATGGACACACCTTCTGGAAAGAACTTGAAGCACCTTCTAGTCGGTTATACCCAAGTTGGATAATTGAAACTACCCCGCATAATGAAGCCCGAGTCGAGCGCAAATGAACAACGAACTTTTTGGCCACAGTTGAGTGATTCCTGGGTGTCGTCGTCATCATCGTCATCATCGTCATCGTCTTTGGTCTTCTTCTGCTGTTGCTTCTGTTGCTTCTGTTGCTTCTGTTGCTGTTCCCTGCTCATCGTCACCAGCCAGTGACGCCGTCTCCCACTTGCACCTGTAGTGTTGTCGTGGTGGTGCCACACAACCACCAGCCAAGTCGAAGTGGAAGTCGGGTGTCGGCAGTCGGGAGTCGAAGCCGTGAGTCGCCCAAGTATCCACAGACTGGGGGAACGCATCAGCATTCGTGGCCACTGTCACTGTCAAGCGTAATCATAATTTATTGTAATTATTTTGTATTATTTTTTAAAATTGTTTTAATGAGTCGTAGTCGTAGTCGCATCGCATTCGCTGTATTTGTCTGTCGTTGTCGTTGTCGTTGTCGTTGTCTTCGTTGTTGGCTCTGATCGTTTCGGCGTTTTACTTGATTTTCCAACTACGACGGCAAAAAAAACATTGCAGATGGAGACGGAGACGGAGACGATAGCGATGTTCAGTTAATTTTACTCGCACTCGCACTCAACTCGATCTGCCCGTAATTACATTATAGATATTTCCATGTTATGATTACCGTTGTCTGCCAGACAACACCAACACCAACAACAACAGCAACAGCAACTACGAGTAGTTGTTAGAGTAGCATTCGGATCTCTTATGGCATTTTGTCAAACGAATAAATTTCGTAATCGGAAGTGTTAGGTGGTCTGAAGTGTTTCGAGTGTTTCGGAGGCTCCCATTATCCGGCCACTTTTAATGAGCCTCAATTATTGAAATTTCTCAAATGCAACGGCTGGGTGGGGGAGGGGACGACGCTCGGTGCGCACCAGGAGAGAGGTGTCGCGGGTATTTCCTTATAGGGTTTGATGAGACTTTTCCCCGTTTTCCCCCTTTTTGTTGTTCACTGAGTGTAGGCGTGGGGGAGGGAATTCGTCGTATGGCATCGGTAAAAGATTGTTGTGATTAGTGTGATTCGAGGTTTGAGGTAAGCAACTGTGGGAATTAGTTGGCAGTGCTTATTCCACCTATATTTAGAAGTGTGGATACCAAGTGGAACATATGTGGATCGTTATCGAATTGGTTGTGGGTTTCTAGCAAAAATATTGATTATACACTATGGAACATTGTGGATTGCATGTGGAACCTGTGTGGATCCTATTCAGAACTCCTCGATTACATTTGATAGATATTTCGGATATTTTAATTGCTGCGCTCCAGGAAGTTCCTAGCGGAAGGCTGCAAAGAGAGAGGCAAGACAAGGCATCGATTAGGGTTTGGTTTGGCAAGGGAGAGTGCACGGACCTACCAGATGTATTCTGTGTTTGCTCGTCAAAGATAGAGAGAGAGACAACACTGATTCGGGGAACTATTTGGAGACTATTTGGCACAACACTAACAGGCCACGTGGGCATTGCTTGGCAACTGCATGCCCCTGGCTGATCTAGAGGCAGAGCCGGATGCCAATGAAGATTAGGGCTTCGGCTTCGATGAAGCCTGGTTCGATTCATCCGAAGATGGTGGAGTCAAGGCAGCCCGACGGTTGCGATTGCTCCTCAAGTCGTAAGGAAACGCCTGTGGGGGAGGCACTAGTACATCCTCGGGGGCTTCTGAAAGTTAAGCGTTTGGACACTGCAGTAGGGGAGAAGCCATCGAGGACTTACCTTTGCCAGCGGAGGATCCACTCGACTTTCCAGCGTCACCCTTCTCCTGATTTTCGTCGTCAGAGTTGCGTGGCTCTGATGGGTTACATTTATTATTTATTTACTGGGCCCACCAATGGATGCACTTACCCGAGTGAATAGTGGCAGTCACAACAATGGAGTTTCTCTTGCTTTTTGGCTTCTTGAAGAGATTCTTCTTGGAAGTTTGCTCCTCGATGGAGCTGGAAGAGCTGTATTCTGCGGACCATACAAAGTGGTTAAAAGTTGCCACGAACTTTGAATATTTTTCACTAACCTTCGCCACTATCGAATGCTGGGCCGCCAGCATTTTGGCGGTTCTTGCGATTGCCACCGTGGTCACGACGCGAGGCCTTGGCCCGGTGCAGCTCGAGGTACTCCATACCGAACTCGCACTCAGTGTCAAAGGTCCTGTCGAGGCTTCACAATCGTGAAGCTCACGTGGAGCTTCACGCGAAGCTTTTCATTTGGCGCTGGCAGCCATTAGAGCAAAAATATGCACGTCAGCGATCGCCTCGGGGGATGCTGACGCTGTCGCTGTCGCTCTGAAATGCTGCCTCTGGGCACCTGTTGATCTTATGCAAATACCAAATAGTTCCACGCTTAACAATACGATCCCCTGACAAAGTACACAACACCAGCGATCTGCAGCACACAGTTTTCAGTCTTTGATAAGCCAGCTCGAGCTCGCCTTGCATTTGGACTCGTTTATTGTTCTTCTTGTTGGCCGTTGCACCTCGCTCTCTATCTTCCACCCAAAAAAAATGCTCTTGTTTGAACTTTATCAGGCTGGGCTTGCGTGCATTTGCGGGGGAGTTGTGTTCCATTGGTGTTCCAGCGGTTTGTTTGGTGTGTGCATGTGTATCTGGGCAACGATAAGATACGGCCGGCCATTCCGGCAATGAAAACGAAAACAAAAACGAATCTCATTCTTTTTCTTTTTCTTTTCCTTTTCTTGGTTTCTGTTTCTGTTTTTGTTCTTGTTTTCTGAGGGTTCAGCTAGAGATTCAGTTTCATCAGCAGGCCACAGCATGCCAAAGCCATGAGGCTAATTTTCTAGGAATAATTCTGTGATTTGAGTGCTGCGGCTACAAGTAGTTGCCCCAAAGGGAAGTTGTCCCCACACAAATAGTAAATAATCGCATTTAACATTCGGAATCACAGAATTCTATTGTTTGCACACCGATAAGGCCTCCCCACACACACCCAGCACTCGGAATATTTCACTTCTATCGCTTTGACATGTGACTTTGGGTACAGTTACGAGAGTCAATAAGATTAGCATCATCCTCATCATCTTAGCCAGCTTGTCCATCATATACATTTTTGGAACTATGAGCAGTGCGATGTGTGCCCACAATGCTGTCACTTAAACAGGTCTCTGGCTGTGCCCATAAAGTGGGGTTTGCTAAGGTAAAGACAAGCTGCAAAATGGTTATGGCTAAGGTTCGTTTGCCGTCTTTGCCATCATCGATATCGTTGAATGTCATCCATATTATCCCTCTATTGCAGGCTTTATTCCATGGTCATATCTTCATATGGCTAGGAATTGTTATTGGGGAACTGGCCAAAGCTTCTCAAGACAACGCTCCCTGTTCCTAGCATTCACATATTTATGTTTGAGTAGATACAGCCATATCTATGGCCAGTGGCAACGTCTTGCTGTTCATCATCAACATCATGATTGTCGCCATAGTCGTCGTGCCCAGCTCATTATTTTTATGAGTCTTTGTGCTGCTGGTCCCTGGGTATTCTCTGGCTGCTCGTTTCTCGTTTCTCGTTGCTTCCCTTCACCTTCTGGCAACTTGCTTCTATCTGGCATTGCAAAGTGATCTGAATCTATTGACTGAACTCCCAGAGCGACAGAGGGAGAGATACACACACATGCATGTGTAGAGGGTGAGAGACGTACACCTGAGAACCGAGCAACAGCAACAAGCGACTGGATTGTTATAATTTTTATGATACTCGTACTTTTTGCTGCTGCCGCATTTCTGGCTAACTATTTATGCCACCAGCGAGATCATAAATATATGTGCATGTGCCTGTGGCTGTGTGTGTTTGTGTTTGTGTGTGTGTGTGTGTGTTTTTTATTGTTATTCATGCATAATGCCAAAAAAGATAAATAACAAATACATTTCTTACTATGTTCTTTGAGCCATCTTCTCTCTCTCTCACTCCCTGTGGGTATTTCTTGCTCTCTTTTTCTCTTTTTCTCTGGCTCTTTGTTTCTGTTTCATTCTGTGGTAATTATTAATAAATGCCGCCACTGCCGCCTACCCCCCCGTCATTCCCTGCTCTCTAATAATATTCACGCTTCGCTTGGCATTGAAGAAAACTTAAGAGCAAAACCAAGAGCAAGACCAGGGGATTGGAACTGGCGACGGAGCTGGAAGACGTTCGGAGAGACCGGAGTCTATAGCTGCGGACTGGGCCGTGCCCTTAGCGTTCCAACAACCAAACAGCCAAACAGCCAAACTACCGACAACCAATTGTCTTTTGGCATATTTTCAAGTTGAACGCTCGGCAAGTTTTTTGTTGTTGTTTTGTATTCCATTCTACCATTCCGAGAGATTTTCTAGTGCGATTAAGCGAAAAACGAAACGGTCTCATACAAAATATTCCCCTATCTCTATCTCTATCTCTATCCCTCTCTCTATCTATCTTTTGCTGGCATGTGTGTTGGTATGAGGAGAAAATGGTGGCTGTTGTAGCTTGGGATCGGCAGGCAAATTGCAGCTTTGTGTCTTGGCCAAGTTCAATGGCAAAAGTGTGAAATTCAATGCCATTTCATGTGGAACATGAAGCACTTTTGCTCACTAATATTTCCAGATATCATGATAAGAAGTTTAGAAATCTTTGTGGTGCTCAAAGAACCTTAAAACTCCTTTAAGATCCATTAAATTTGTGGCATAATTTAGCTGCGGAAGCCATGTGTAGCCCCAAGCCCAAATCGGAGAAAAATCAGCGTTTATTTATTCAAACACATCCTGACATCCCGCTGTCAACTTTTTTGCAATATTCCCATAACCCATTCAGAGCCATTGACTCGCTCATTCATTCACTCATTCATTCGTTCCACACATACATATGTATGTGAGACGGGTCGAACCCTCGATTGGCATCGCCCTCGCACTCACCCACTGCCATTGCCATCAGAGAACTGCTTTGCATATTGACATCATCATTTTGGCAGAGACGACAAACTGTCAAACAAAACAATTGCTGTCAAATTTACTACAATGAGCGTACGGTACGCTGAAAGCCAGCGGAGCCAACACACACAAAAAGAATGGAGCTGTCAAAGTTTTTATGGCTGGGCCAAGAAGCAATTTCAACATATCAATAAATTTTTGACAATACCCAAAGACACACCGAATCGCACAGGACAGAAACGAAACGAACCGAACCGAAGCGAACCGAAAAGGAAAGAAATACCAGGGAACACCTTTTCAATAAATTTGCTACAACTGTCAGCGAAACAATGTCATTGTCACGACGCCCTCTCCAACTCCAACTCCAACTCCAATTCCAACTTCAGTTCCCAATTCCGAGTTGAACCTTGCCTCACCCTTTGCCCACTCGGCATTGACTGTCGCGAAGGAAGCGACCTATAAACCTGTCACAGGACCCGGGGAATAGGGATCTCTTGGTGGGGGTACAACAATGACAACGACGACATTATTGTCGCTAAACAAACGATCAAATGGCAATTTAAAAGTTTTTATTTAACACTAAATCACCCACACCACGAGCAGCATTTTTCCAGTGGCATCGCCACCACCAATGAGCCCAGCCACCCGCCACTCGCCACCCGCCACCCGCCACCTGACATTCGCTTTCTTTTTCAATTTCGAACCCTTTCGAAAAGCAACCTTCTTCGCCTCACGACAGCCACCAAACCATTCTCAACCCTTGCGCGATTTTCAATAACTTCTCTCTAGTGAAAGCAGCGAACAAAAGGCGCAAAACTTTACCGACTTAAATTATGGGCTTGTTCTTGCCACTGCGCTCCCTCTGCCACCCACAGCTGCCTCTTCATTTTTTTCCTATATATTCGTTTTTTTTACTTCTCAACTTGGGTTGTCTTCTTCGCTGTGTGTTTTTTTTGCTTGTTGGTTGCCCGCCAAACCCATCGACTGCCTGACTTTTGACTCCCCATGGAATTTAACGCTGTTGTTTTGTTGTTCTGTCGTTGCATGCATGAAGACATTTTTGACATAGGCAGGCGCATGCCAAGGCTGTCGGGGGAGAGGGAGAGGCGAAGAGAGTGCTGAGGATATGGCTAAGAACTGCTACGAATATTGGTATTGGCAGCCGAGCAGCAGTGCTTTAAGTGGAAAACAAAGCCTTAAGGGTTTTCATTGCAGAGAAAAACAGTTTGTGATCCAAGCAGGGACTCTCAACAGGTTCTTTGGCATCATCATTGCGGAAAGTTTTAACCTTTAACACAAGTCTTTGAACCCATGAAAAAACTCTTCCATAAACTCATCAATACTTGACAATTTATGTAGCTCCAAAAACTAAATGCGAGCTGAGCTGAGCCGAAAGGTTCAGCAATAAATGAGCGCCTACTTCCAGGGCTGTCTCGATGCCTGGCGCTGGCCGCGCTCCTCCTGGCGCTTGTTGAAGAAGGCAATGGTCAGGTGGCGATTGGCCGGTGTGAGCGTCGTCTTGGAGTTCTGGTTGGCTGTGGGACTGGGGCGCAGGCAGGCAAAGCTGCCCAGGCTGCTGTCCACGCTCACCAGCCGCGAGCGACGGCGACGAATGTGTGGGGACGACTTGGAGCTCGGACGAGACTTGCGGGCAGTCGCCTGCCCTGGATTCTGCTGCTGTTTGGCACGGCGACCACGCTGGCCACCGGACTTGAGGCGCTCCGGCTCATCGATGGCCTCCTCGCGCTTCAGATCACGGGTTAGGCGCGCCTGCAGGCGATTGTTGCGCGACTTGGACTTGTTCAGGGACTTGGCCTTGGGCGCTGCTGGAACGATGACAGTCGGCGGCTCCTGCTTGTTCTTCGGCCCAACATTGAAGTGGACCTTGGGCTTGCTCTGGCGCGACTTCTTCCTGGCCATTGACTTGTGCAGGGAGCTGCGACTGCGCAAGGACAGCGGCTTGCAGGTAACCTTTGCAGTCGGTTGGCTGGCGGTGGCTCCGGCCCCGTCCTGGAACTGAAACGGCGTGTACCAGGGGAAGGCCACACTTCGGATCTGCTTGGCCACATGCGAGTCGATCTTGCTCTGGCCGTGGATGGCCATCTCCCCGCTGGTATCCAGAGGCGTCTTCTTCTCCACCACAAGGCCACCGGCCATGCGATCTGCACGCTTCGTGGTGCTGCGCTGCACCAGCCAGGGCTTCGCGTAGAGTCGCTGCAG